TCCTGATTTCAACCTCCAAGGCTCCTTTTAAAAGAAATCCACCTTTTTCTCCTCGTTTTTGTCATGTTTTGTGGGTCGTACGTCTGTGTCGGAGACTCGTGGTGGGCTTCCAGGTTTCATCCCGGTTGGGGGTGCTCGAGATAATGGTTTGTGTTTGCTCTTCCCACCTCAATTCCTGCGATAAACGTCATTTTTTTTTTCCGAGGATGATGTACGTGGGCACCAGGAAAGGTGAAGGTGATGCCTGTGGTCATGGGAATGGTGGGACCAACCCTCAATCTTGTTGGGTTTCCCTTCTTCTGCTCTAGGAGGCATCTCATGGAGCTTCTGTGGCTCACTCTGTGAAGTGGTTTTAATTAATCCTGGCCAAGAAATTTAGCTGAGAACCCCTGTCTTCGTCCTCAACAGGAGACGGATGGGATCACTGGGTGCTCTCCTCAACACCCAAAGTCCCTCAGGCACCCGTTGAGGTGCTCCAAGCATAGGAGCTCTTCTCCCACCTACACCATGAGTAAAACTGCCAAAATTGAGTTAAAATATGGGAGGCAATCTGCCGGAGAGGGACGTCCCACCTGGGAGCTGGGACTCAGCGGCTCTTCTGGGCTCACAGTGCCCTCTTCTGACAGCTCCTGGCCACTTGAAAAGGGACAATTTTGGGAAAGGAGAAGTCCCCAGGCCGCCTCCAGCCGCAAGACGCAAGTTGTGGGTCCAGAAGGGGAGCGGGCAAGATAAAAAGTTGACTCTGGTTGAGTTTTTGGGGCACTTGGGTGGGTGAAGAAGGCTTTGAGGTCTGGTTCACGTGGCTTTTAGAGTTGCTTGTTCATAAGATGAGTCAACATGAACTTAATCTCACCGTACCACAGGTTTTCCTTTATTTTTATTTTTTTTTTAATGGTCCTTCTTGCTCTTTTCTAATCTGATTTAATTTTGGGACCGGGTAGCATCAGTACTTGAGCTTTCAGGTTACTGCTGGTTTTCTAGATGATGCCCATGAGAAGACCATGAGAAGACCATGCCAACCTTGGGCACGCTGAGCTGCTCCAGCTAAGAATTAATTAATTAATGCCAACGATCCCGCCTTGAAGGGCGCTAATATAGTGGATAAAAGTCACGCTTTCACGCGCAGCTCGGTCCTCGAGCATCGTCCCTTTCTTTTCTCCTTCTCCAACGTCCTGCTCTTGGAGTAGATGTTCAACGGACACAAGCGTCTCATTGACCAGGATGCAATCTCTTCATTTTGGGAGTGTGGCTTGTCCACCATGCCCCTAAAAAAAAAAAAAAAAAAAAGATTTTTCTCAAAGTAAAATCAGGGAGCAGGTCACTTGGGTGAGATGCTTCCAAGCTGTGTGGCTGGTACTCCTGGTTTTACTCCTGGTTCTACTCCTGGTTCTACTCCTGGTTCTACTCCTGGATTTTTCCCAGCCTTTTCCTCCTGCTCAATATTTCCCGAGGCTTTCCAGATGGACAATCTCTGCCTTTCTCAACTCCTCTTCGTTTCACTGGGCTTTTCTGTCTTCTTCAAAAGTGGTCTTGGGGCTGATTCCTCTCTGGTTCAAGGTTCTTCTTCCCTGGGATGCCTTCTCCATCACCTGGAAAGCTCTCGTAGATACCTCCAACTGGGACTTTCCTCCTCGGAGACCCGAGCACCTGGATTTTCTTTCTCTTTTTGAAGAGGGATGAGTTTTTGGGTCACATCTCCATCTCTTGTGATGAGGCATGGCAGAGGGCTGTTGTCTACCAAATAATCCACCGCTGTCTACCTGAGCAGGCTTCCCCGTGTACAACCCCGACCTGCTCGCTCGGCTGGAGCAAGGGGAGGAGGTTTGGATCCCCGACATCCAGAGCTCGGAGGAGGAAGAGGAGGAACAACTGGCGAGACCCCTCTTGAAGTTGTGGACGAGGAAAAGGAAACGGTGGAGAAGCTGCCAAGATGCTGGGAGCTCCTCCGGTTCCGACTCCTTTCACTCAGGTAAAAGTCTTGTTTTCCACCCCAAAATGGAGATGCCGAGCATCGGTCCTTGCCTCCAGCAAGCAAGATCGTACCGGAAACTGGTGTAACTGGGAGGAGGGGGGTTGCAGGGGTGCGAGGACCCGGTCGGGCATCGGCAGCTGGAGACACCAGATGCTTCTTCTGGACCAGCGTAGCCAGATATGACTGTGGGACAAAATCAGTCACTTTTTTGGGGTGCTTCTCTCCGTCCCTCCTCAAGCTCCTTCCCTGGGGCACGTTCAGGATGGACGTAGAGGTGGACGAGGTGGATCCCCTTCCTTTTCTTCCTTTTTTTATTTTTTTGGCTTTTCCCAGCAGACGATGAGTGGACGAGCGAGACGGAGGAGGACAGTTCCCAGGAGGACGACGGAGACCTGCGCGCTGGGTCAGCGAGGAAACCCAAAGGTGGCATCTCGTTGGGTTACGAGCACCACAAAAACCACTCGGGAAGGAGATCGGCTTCTTCCAGCCACAACGGGAGAAGACCTAACACCAAGAGCACGTCAAGAATTCAACTGGGGCAACACAAACACACCTGCAACGCGTGTGGGAAAAGCTTCAGCAGTGATTCATCCCTCAACCGGCACCAGAAGATCCATCTTGGGGAGAAACCCTTCACTTGCTGCAACTGCAAGAGAAGTTTCATGTGCAGCTCCACTCTGAAGGACCATCAGAAGACCCATTGCCAGAGGAAACCCTACAAATGCCCCAGCTGCGAGAAACGTTTCGCTTCCACCAAATCTCTCAAAAAACATCGCCAGCTTCATCTGGAGAACGGGCCGTACCGATGTTCCGAGTGCGGGAAAAACCTGACTTCCAACTCAGCTCTTATCATCCACCGCAGGATACACACCGGGGAGAGACCCTACCAGTGCCCCGACTGCGGGAAGAGCTTCATGGCCAACAAGTCCCTCAACAAACATCGCAAGAGCCACACGGAAGGAGCCATCTTCGTCTGTCCGGATTGCGGGAAAAAACTCAATTCCAAGTCCACCCTCATCATCCACCGGCGAATACACACGGGGGAAAGACCCTACGAGTGCCCCGACTGTGGGAAAAGCTTCATGGCCAACAAATCGCTCAGCAAACATCGCAAGAGTCATATGGAGGAAGGCACCTATAAGTGTCCCGAGTGCGGGGAAATCTTCTCAAAAAACTCAGCCTTCGTCGCCCATCTCAGGATCCACAGGAACCAGCCCCCGTATCCGTGCTCCGACTGCCGGGAAGCCTTCTTTGAAAGCTCATCCTTCAAACAACACCGGAAAAAACACTTGGTGGAGAAACCCTACCAGTGCTCCAACTGCGGGATCGGCTTCACCGTCCACTCGGCTCTCCTCCTCCATCAGAAGACCCACATAGGACCCAGACCCTACGTCTGCTCCGACTGCGGGAAAGCTTTTCGGGAGAACACCACCCTTCGTAGGCACCAGCGTATCCATACGGGTGAGAAACCCTACCAGTGCTCCTACTGTGAGAAGAGCTTTCGAGCCAGCTCCACCCTCATCATCCACCAAAGGATCCACACCGGGGAGAAACCCTATAAATGCACCAAATGCACCAAATGCTTCATGTCCAGCTCTTCCCTCATGAAGCATCTGCGGACGCATCTCCGTAAGGAGCTGCTGGTGGGTTCCAGTCAATGACTTTGTTTTGCCCGACTCCTTCGACGTGCCTTTGGGTGCCCACCTAAGCGATGGATGGGTGGACTGGCTGGCTGGCTGGATGGATACTCCCCTTCCACGCCCCATCCATGCCAGAAATGCATTTCAACGTAATCTTCTCCCTTCCTCCAAACACACTACATGGCAGAAGATGTTCTCAGGACACAGGGATGAGGGACAGCGGTGGCCGGTCAGTCCTCAACCCCGGGGTGGCTGCAGGGATGCCGATGCCCCGATGGGATGGAGGGTTGTGAGGTTTGGGGACCGCTCATCTTGGCCCGTGTGTTGGGAACCCACCCGAGGAGAACATCTACAGCTTCCTTTAGAGGCTAAATCCTCTCTTTTTTAGCTTCTCACCTTCAAAAACATTTACATATTTTAAGAGAAGGCCCATCCTGAAACCGAGGGGTCTCCATACCCCTGAGGTTCAGTCCGTTTGGATCATCTGTTTTTATTGGATACGGCGCTTTCCAAACGCGTGTTTCCTTCCCCAATTTCCCCCCTCGGGCTCCCTGTCTCTCATCCGAATTTTTTTTTTTTAATGCTGCCGCCTTCAAATTACACCACGATGAATTTCGGCTGTGACACCTTGTTTGTGGGTACCCGCTTTAAAATGAGGTGCAATAAAGTAGAGCTGGGTTTCTAGGAGTTGCAGGATCATGATTTGATTGCTCATGGTTGGGAAAGATGGGGGGACAGATGGGAGACCGCCCCCCTCCTTTCCTGGGGGGGGGGTGTGTGTCAATGTAATTTTAATTCACCTGTATTTGGGGGAAAAAAAAAACCCAACCAAAACCAACGCATGGGTGTTTGGGATAAGTTTCGATACACATCCATTGTCCTTTCTTTGGAAATTCATGAGGGTTTTATTGCTTTAAAAAGAGGGGGGGGGGGGAAAAAAAGTGGTCCAACATTTTT